TGTTCAGGCTAAAGTCTCTGAACTCTGCCTGAGGAAGGTAAGAGGAGCAAGGATGTACCTCCAGGACAGAGTCCCAGCTGTCCAAAGTGTGTGTGACACTCTGGAGCAGGACTCTTCAGTGGAGAAGCTAAGAGAGCAGCCCCACTACCTCCATGTGCTAGGGAAAGGGAGGTGTCTGGGGGACTGGTCTGCCCACCTGAGGTCACAAGACACGGGGGTGACCCCTCCACCATGTGCAACTGCTTGTCTGCAGTGTCCTGCAGTGCCTCCTTCCCATCTCTGCAGCAGTCTTACTCTTACCAGCTCATTTACTTTCTCCAGAATGCAGCTCTGCTAGAATAGTGCCTGCTTTTCACACAGCCTTCTACTTTTTCCTGAAATGGTTTGATTTTGCAGACATGAGACAATTTGCATGACAAGTATATGGCACAGACTTGAAAGGGCTGGAAGATCAGGACTTTTCACCACGTTGTGAGCAGCAGAAGGAGAAGAAAGGGTATGGGCCTCATGCTGCAAGCAAGACAGAGAGATCATCTCTTTCTGCTGCCACAACTTTCCCTCCGTGTTGCTGGCACTGACACAGTGTCAAAATCCACATCTTCCTGAACACTGTTTCCTAAGAACACGCAGAAGCCCAAACCCAAGCTTTCTTCAGTAGAAACTACTGAGAAGCTGGAAAGCATTTGACTTGCAGTGCTGTGGAAGCTTCCACAGCAGCAGAACGATGAAATGGGAAAAGTCTCAATGAGCCTGTGTGAGGAAACGCTGTGCATGCTTCCTGGGAAGCTAAGCCCAGGGGACCTTAAGGTCCAGGGAATTTCTCCTGCCTTGACTGTTTGCTGCTGGTGTCCTTCCCAGTTCAAGCTAGGCACGTATTCAAGATGCAGGCACACACACCTGCGAGCATGCATGACACTCATGTGGCTGGCCACACAGATCAACTCAGAGAGAGCTGTGCCTTTACCAGCACCCACAGAAACAACATCACTCCCATCAACAAGCCAGCTCCTCTTCCTCCTCTCTGGCTGAGCAGATTTGCAGATCTCTACTGAAACATGCACACCCCTTCCCTCTGTAGATGCACAAGCATGTCACACTAATGGTCCCTCAGATATTATCATCGGCTCTAAGTCTATTATCCATACCAAAACCTCAAGACTCTTACTCAGCCACCAGCTCAGACCTTGGGTCTTTCCAGATATGTGTCCTCCCACTCTCTGGCTAGTTCAGTTTGAAGTTCCCTAGCAAATTACAAATACACATAGACATGCACATATGCAGGGTTAGATTAGTTGATTAGGGTTAATTAGAGAAAAACACACAGAAATTTTGGGCAGTTGCTGGTACCTAGTCCTACAGGCCCCTATGACCCATACCCGCTTCTCGGGAAGCCCAGCAGAGACACAACTGAGTCCGTGCAGAGCCAGTCTGGTTGTGAGGGAATGCATTTGCGAGAGCTTGCATGGATGATGTTTCTACCTCACCCTTGGAAGCCATAGAAGAAGCCGGTACCAAGTCTTTGCCCTTATTGAATGTTTAGATGGTCGGTCAATCCTCTCTCCTCAGCCTCCAGCAGCTCCTTGACACTGATAAGCTCCAGAGAGCTTCCCATGCACTCTGCATGGTCATTGCTCCTACATGGAAGTGGAGAGCATTCAAGCCAGCTTATACCTCTTCTTGCTCTGTGAGTTATGTGCAGGAGAGATCAATCCTTGGCTTTCTCCTCTGTCAGAATCGCTGCCACAACTGGGTGAAGGCAAGACTATCAGGGGATGAATCCGAGATGCTGTTCTTGTTGTATCTCTAAACAGCCTTTTCTGTATTCTCTGAAGACTTGCGAGGAGCCTGGTTATGAGGAGGAGATGCATCTGGAAAAGGGCAGCACAGCAGGATAAACTCTGCCAAGTCTAAAATTAAACTTAAGAGGGCTTAAGAGATCAGTTATACAAGATACCCCAAAATAACTTAGAATAAATCCTAAGAGGAACAGTGAAAGCACTGCTGACATCTTCAGTTCTCAGTGAGATGCATGTCTGCATGTTGAAGTATGAGCGCAGTCTATAAATACCACCCCTGGTTACCATTGAAAATGGAGGAGGGGTTTCCAGTGCTCCAGCAACAGGAGCAATGAAGAGAAATGTTCTTCATCAGGAACTTCTTGTGCAGTTCCTACCACAACCTTTAGCTTACTGCCGGGCACAATCCAGGTATCAGCAGTTCAAAGTGAAGTGACCTCCTTCCAGGCTTTTCTGTGTCTCCAATCTACAGTCATTCTTTGTGCTATGGTTCCAAAAGAACTTTTTCTGGACATTCCAGCATCTTCTGTCCATATTACTTAAACTGGAGGCCTCAGCCACGGCCAGCTCTCCTGGGAGAGGTCGTGTTCTGGGCAAGCTAGTTTGAGGGAGGACAAGGATGCACATTGCTCCAAATAATCTCTACATCTGTCCTGCAGTCAAGGCACCTGCAGCCAAACACTATGATATCCAGCAGCTTCCTCAGTGCTCACACGTATCAGAAAGGCTTTGTACCTTGCCATGTATCTGAAAGGCAGTTTCTGTAGCAGAAAATGCCATTCCCCTTTGGCTATCTTGGGATAACATGCTAGATAATCAGGTATTTGTTGAAGGATTCCGGTAATATGGCTTCAGATTCACTGCAGCCACAGGTGAGAGATGACTCAGTGCTAGCCAGTTAGCTTGAAGTCAGGTTAAAATAAAATTGTGATAAAAGCAATAGTTTACAGTTGAAAAAAAAACCCAAACCACAAACACAAAACAAAACCCAAACCATAGATTCATATGGCTAGAATGAAAAATCCTGCTTGATCTGCTTATATTGAGTCCAAATCTAAAGGTCACTCTCCCTATATTCCCTTGATTTTATGTCAATGCATTTCTGACACACCTCATGCCCTAAAACTCAAGAGTCTCTGGATGAGAATCCTACTTACAGCACAGTATCTTTTATGATCCACCTATTTCTCTGGATTTCTTGGTCATGGGCCTAAAGTACACCTCATGTGAAAAGAAGTTGAGAGCACTGGGCTTGTTCGTGTCCCTACAAATAGAGAAAGGATGACTACAAAGATGACCGAGCAGCTAGAGAAATTCAGATTGGGTATAAGAGAACACTTTTCCAGAAGTGTGGTGCAGCCCTGAGACCAGAGCAGGGGAGAAACTCCATCATGGGAGTCACTACATAATGGGTATCACCATCCTTGAAGTATTTCAAGATTTGACTGGGAGAAGTCACAGTTGACCTGGTCAGGTGTTAGCAATAGTCCTGCTCTGAACAGGAGGCTGGACAAGAGACCTGCAGGGTCCCATCACCGCAACGCTTCTGGGATGCTCTGATTTCTGTGATCCATCAGTTATCTTTCAGTCTGTCTGCCGCAAAACTTAATGACTTACTCGTCTGACATTCCTTCTGCTCACATATAGACTGCCCTACCTACCTCTTTGGAAACTGAGATGGTGCTTTGATAAGTCAAGTGTCACTTCCTTTTGTTGACTGTCCTTTTGACAGTGCCTGGGTTCACAGAGTAGAAATCCCTCCCCTGCCATGGAGATACTGAAATGTTCATTTCAATGTCAAGTGAACCTTTTCTTTTATAGCAACTTATACATAGACAAACAGACTACAGACTCTGTACACAACACTTTTTAGCATATTTAACATAGGTTTAAAATTGCAAAAAGTAAATAAAAAGTGTTAATAATAGCATTATAATAATAGATTGTTATTTCAGCACAGCTATCATTTGAATGGTTACATTTATCTCAATCCCACCAACAAAGACACCAGAAAGATTAACAGTTTGTATTGGTTTGTACATATAATTAAATGCAACTAAGAAAAAATTACACACTGACTTCAACATCACTACAGCATTTCGCTGTTTATTCTTTTTTAATGGCTCACATTTCCTAAATCAGTCTTTTGGCTGTGCAATTAAAATTGAGCAAAACTGATGAAAAAACCTACTCCGATAGCTGTCTTTGCGTCAATTAAAGTTTTAAAGGGCAAAATGGATTCTTCTCCATTACCTCTGGCAGGCATGCTGGGCTCTGATTCCTTGAGGCAAGCAGGCTGTTGGTCACCTTGGAACATATCGCATTGAAGGAAGCACATACGCTTGGTGGGTGGATGCACCTAGAGCAGAGGAATTATTTTATGATGTCTGATTGCCTGAAGAAGTGAAGAGAAAGGTCAGAACATCCACCCTTAAGATATATTTCCTGCTCAGAAGCAATAGGTTTCTCGAGAATGCCTGTGAAAATGGAGGTGGAGTCCTAAACAGAAAATTTAATTTACAGTGACGAATGGATGTAGCAGTCACAAAGCAGAGGGAGTGGTACAGGGCTGTGATGCTCATAGCAAGGCATTTGCCTGCTTTTTAAAACTTTTTTTTAAAATTGCTATGCAATTGCTTAGCTTGCTTTGTGCTTCAGGTTTTGTCTGTCCTAGTCATGTGTGTCATATCCACCTATTGAGACATCTGTGCCCATGCCAAGCCCATCTGCTTCCTGGCACTGGGAGGGTCGGTCACAGCCTGGTGGGGCGCAGGCATAGTCCTGACGGTGAGAGGAAGGAGGGCAAAAGTGTTGGTGAAAGAGGCCTGTGCCCTCCCAGCGCTACCCCTCTGCGGTGCTTTGCCCTGTGTTACTCCATTGGGAGTGCAACGCTGCTCCTGGCCTTGGGAAAGAGCATCACTGACCCAGCAGGGACCCAAGCATCAGAGAGAACTTGTTTCTTCACTAACTGTGTTTCATACTCCTGATGAAGGGACTGCAATCCTAAGGGAGAGTCCAGCCATGTGAGCATAGCGGTTTCGGTCCAGGATGGAGGCACAGGTAAATATCTGCTCTCTGTGTCAGACAACTTAGTGGTCCTGTAGAGATTCAGGTGGGAGCGATGGCAGAAACATCAGTCAGAAAGAGGAGGCAGAGCAAACCCAAACTACTTCTGTCTCCTAAAATAATCCTTTTCTTTTAAAGGTGAAAAATGTCGAAGCTTTATTGACCTTGCCCCGGCTTCTGAAAAAGGTAAGACAATACAGTCAAGGCTTCTTCCCATTTTACAAATTGCATCAGTATTGTTTCTTGTTGTACTTGAGTGCCAGGGGAAACATTACTTCCTAAGCACACAAGGACCTACATGTCATTCAGATTACACACAGCCAGGTGACACAAATGCCAAGGGTTTAGGACAGCTGTTTACTCAGTTTATGCAGATCTGTCATTTCTCTGGTGCATTTTATCTTCATTCAGCTGCATTTTTTTCAAGAAAATAAAGATTTATATTGTAATACAGACATTCCCTTCTTCCTCTAGTGAGGAAGGACATGCTCTGTGGTTTCCTCAGGCTGTGAAGACATTTATGGTCAGAAAACTGCAGTCACAGTACCAAATGTCTCTTTGTGAGAGGGAATCATCTAGATGCTTGTTTGTTTGATTTATCCTCAGAAAAAAAAGAATATTCAAGTGCACAGAGGCAGGCTGCAAAGGTTTTCTTTACCCTGATACTGGAGTTGAAAATTCTTATATTTCAAAATAGTATTTATCTAGAAAAAAATGGGGCAGCCAAGCCCATCCTGCTCCCTGCTCAAGACAGAGTGCTCTGCCGAGATCTGAAGAGGTGCACGAGCCTCTCAGTGTCCGTCACACTAACAATGGGCTTCTGGAGAACCCAAAAGACAGATGACAATTCATGTTTGTACAAAGAAGCGAAACCATTTGTTAGATCGCTTGGGACAATCACAAAACTTTTTGGGCCTACGGTACCTTCGTCAAGTCTGACAGAGACAGTAAGTGGGGTAAGGAACAATTGTTCTTAGTTTGTCTGAATTGCTGATCAGCTGGACAAATTGAAAGAGAAGGGCAATTACCATTAATAAAGCAGTGGGGTATTTCAGTGAGAGAAAGAGTAACAGAGACAGTCTCTGTGAAATTCATTGTAAGCAATCCTAAATAAATTATGCACATAAGGGAAGAACAATCCTGGGATTACTGCCACTAATGGGCTCTGAGTTAAATCTTACACACACAAATGGGACCTTGGGGCATAACCATTCTTATGAAACCACTAGCTCAATACTCAGCAGCATTCAGAAAACAAACTATCTATTAGAAACCATTAGCAAAGGACTTGAGAACAGAGCAGAGAGTATCCTGTTGCATGAGGACTGTATACATCTGAAAGCTTTGCCTTTATATAAAACATAGTGTGGTATTTTGTCCTTTTTAGTACAGCTCAGAGAACAGAAGCAAGGATAATCAGAGTTCTGTAAGGTTCTGTACAAGGACGAGACTAAGAGTCTCCAGCCTGAAAGAGAGACATAGGAGAGGAGATATGATGGACATTAATAAAGATGTAAGAGGAACTGAAAAGGTAAGCTGGGGAATGGTAGTTCGCTGCCTTTCCCAGTACAAGGACTAGTGGGCACTGCATGACACCTTCCAGAGACAGACTCAAAACAAGAGCTACGTGTCTGTTACAAAGGCAATGGGATCGTTTTGTGCTTTATCCATTTTCTGTGAAAGTTCATTATGGTGCATAATGCTTGGTTGAATCACCCACACACTTTCCAAAACAGCATTTAGTGCTTTACTTTAAGTATTTCTTTTGGTTGTGTGAAACGTTGTCAGCAATTTTTTTTTTCAGTAGAATTTTAAAGTTGCTGCACCGTGTCAGTGTATATTTCTAGACTATTCTATTTTTCCTTTTTGAGGAAGGAAGACTCTTTTGGTGTAGTGATATAAAGAAAATTATATCTATTTCTGAAGTCTTTCCATGGAGTTGTAAGGCATATGGACAGAAAGAGAGGGGAATGCTCTGTCAGAGATGGAAAGTGCTGACCATCTGACTCATAAACAAAACCAAGATAAATTCCACAACTGTAGATCGAGTTGGACACTGCAACATAGTTAATCTGAATTTTTCATCATCAGTCTGGTACTGTCCAGAGATATTTTCACCACGTGTGAAGAGAAAATTGTGTGTCAATGATGGCCAACTTACTTTCACTGCAGAATTCTTTAACTTCTTGACTTAAGCTGCACTTTTCCAGTTTCTTTCCAGAACTTCCTACTCTTCTAATTTCTTCATCCCCTCACTCAGCATTGACTTTAATGATCAGAGGCTTGTGAACTACTCAGTTACACCCAGTGCTGGGACAGATTCTTGATTCCTCTTCCAAGGAAATGAGATATGATAAAATGCAGTGAATATAAAAATTTGACTTCAGTTATACAAACATATTGCGGTTTTCACAGTCTATTGTGTAACTGGGATTTTTTGGACTAAACTTATCTTCACAATGAGACTTCAACTTGTTCAGTTTCTGTACATATTCTTAGTATCACTTACCACTAAAAAGTGGCTGTTCAAGGTTTTGATTATCTCAGATGTCTCCGTGAGTACATGCTCTGTTACTGCAACTGAGCACTCAGGCTTTCCGAAGTTTTCTTTTCAGTTGGTTTTCCCTGATCCAAAGAAGACCTCTGTCTAACCAACTTCTAAGCTAAATATGGGCTGTTGAAGCCTATGCCTGCTTCTGAGCACATCATCTTCCACTTTTAAGACATGCTGAAAGGAAGCCTAAGAACAACTTAGTCTAATTGTACAGCCAGTCTCTAGTTCTAGAGTCCATCACCAGTTAACACCAAGTCAGTGTAAAATTCCTTCATAATATTTAAAACCTTCTTAGCATAGAAAAGCTAATCGTCAAAACTCACAGTAAAATAAAACCATCTATGGTGAGACCTTCCTACATCCTTACCACAAACCTTGCATTCATAAATGATAATGTTTCTTATTCTTACTGTAAAAATGTAATAGCTTATGCTTGAGCTTCCTATCTTTAATCCATTTGTGCTGATCTCTAGTGTAGCTGGATACCATATCTCTGATCAGTTATTATACCCTTTGCATATATCGCACCAAGGACATCTACTAAAAGGAGGCAGCAAAATTTGGTGCAAACAGACCCACAGTATGGTATAAATAAGCATTTCCAACCCACACTAGGAGAGCTCTTCACTGCATTTAAGGCAGCTGCCAACAATCTGTCAGAACCTTATAAGACTAACATTGAATTTATTAGCTATTGCTGGTTGTTAGTGCCAAATCTGCTTAACAAAATCAGCTTGATAATAGTAGATAATAACTAGAAAAAAAACATTTTCTGTGTCCACAAATATTTCTATGATAGTTTTCATTCACTGTCGATGAAGGATGATAGGGCAATAGCTGGTTACATTGGCCAGGACTTTTAATGGGCTCTCACAGAGCGGATGTTTGGTCCCCCGAAGTGTGCTATTTTCTAATTTTCATTACAGATGTGAGTAGTAAGATAGCAAGTATTGCCAAAAGGATTTCGAAGGAAACTACCACAGTAAGCTGGACCTGATCTTTCAGTTCTGAATTGCTCCTGGGATCTTCTCCACAAAACTTGATCAAAGTTTTGTTTCTGCTAAGTATTTTGATGACCAAAGAAGAAAAGGTGAACATATTTAGTGAGGGACACTTATCTGTTACACTGAAAAGCGTGCTCAGCTTTCAGCTACTTGGTCCATTTTCGAATGTAGCTTGCAGCCTTTCCTCTTCCTTTGGGCTGCTGTCAACCTTGCTAAAGCATCTTTCTGTCAAGCTCCGTGTTGCAGTGCCCAGCCAGAACACTGAGGCTGGAACAGACTCCACTGCTCTCCTCCTCTCATCACACCTTTTGGGTGCAGCTTCTAGCTCCCCTTTCCCATTGCTTCAAATCTGTGCCAAAGAGGACTTCCAAGAGGCCATGGAGTATACATTCAAAAGGAAGAAACCAAGGCCAAATATTATATCTGGAAACTGTGGCACCACAATGGAAAGCAAAAGGTAGCAGTAGGTCCCATTAAATGATGTGATAAATTACTTCACTGACTAGCATAACACCACAGCTATATCCATATACAGGTCTGTTCCTCCCCCTGCCTAGAACTATGTGCAGATTCAAACTCCCGCATCCTTCTATAAATGCATAAATGCCAGCTGTCAACCACAGTGACACAGCGAGAGCTGGAGGATGAGAAGTCATGACCAGCCAAACTCCTTGTGTAAGTGAAGACTGGGATATATACAGTGGAAATCAGTTGGAAGCAGCCTTTGTGCTGGAAGAACTTTGCTGGGGAAGAGCGAGCGTTTGCAGGAAATGTGATGCCCCTACGAGCCTTCGGGATGGTGTTCACTGGGGCTGCGACTCAGGCACTTCCCAAGCACCTGGAGTGCCTGCAGCATGTACTGACATGAGGTGCTTTGGCCTGAGGAGTCCTGTTGGGAAGTTGCTTCACGAACAAGCTCAAAGGTCACTGTTGGCTCAAAATTTAGAGACGGCCACACCAACGTAGGGCAGGATTCATAGGACAAACTCCTTAAGGTATGGTACAATCTGATCTAAGTTACTCTAACGCTCTGTAAGACCTCACTTGCTTCAGCTATGATATCTGTGGAACAATACCCACAATGAATGGCAAAGCAGCAGGTCATCAGCAACTGCTTATATTGCAGTGCTTTCTACGTATTCATAGGGAAATTCACATGCATAAAATAAACAAGACGTTTTAGAGACCTTGGAGGTTGAGGCAAGGCAAAACCTTGCAGAAGGAAAATGCTTATTGCTAGTGAGCATTTAACAGTCCAAAATGTTACAGGGGACTTTTTATATTAGAGACTGTACTGGCAGAAGTGGGAGATGGCTTCTGCATATCCTCTACACAGCTCATGATGATGCATCCTGTAGAGGTGAAGCAATAAAAATGCTGTATTGTCTAAAAGTAGCTGGCAAAACTAAGATAGTACATGACAAACAGCAAATAAACAAATAAAATCTCACCTAAACACTGCATGGAAAAAGAGAAAGCTGAGCCAAGTCCATACATGCTTTTAAGCCAGCACTACAACAGCAATTAATGAGAAGAGGAACTAGATGCCTGATTTTAATGGATACTGACATAATAGGTGTACCAGAAATTTGATGGGAGAAAGATAATTAGTGGGACAATAACGTCTT